GAGAGAGAAAGAGAGGGGAGGGGGGGGGTAGAGTGAGCGACTAGACTAGAGCGACAGAGACAAAACCATTAGTGATCGGAAGGGCAGCCAATGCCGAGGCCATTAGAGTCCACTTAGCGCGAGGCGCGCAGATCAGTGCCTGCAACGTGCGGGGCCGCGCATAGGCGAGCGTGTGAGGGTGTATAGGGCGGGCGCTCTGGCGTCCGGTCCAGTCAGTAGTGGCCCGCAAGCGGTGGCAGCAGGACGGACAATCAGCTCAGAGACAACATGAACGCCCCGCTCACCGTGAGTACAAGTGTAGTGCCGCGCACTCGGGTGGGGTGGTGGAGTGGCGGGACGCGGAAGCACGTCGGGTCGGTCGGAGAGACTGTGTGTGTGCCGCTGTGAGCCCAAAGTGTACGTGCGAGTTTGGAGAGACGTGTGGGCTGGCGTAGGATCTTATTTTAGCGCGAGTGACTTCTTTTGGTTCTGCACCCCCCCCCCTCTCCCCCCTCTCTCGCTCTTTCTCTCTCTCACTCTCTTTTCCCTTCTCCGAAGCAACGACTCATATCTCCCCACCACTCTCCTTTAGTGAAAAGGAAAGCCTGGCAGACTGTAATTAGTTTCTTGGGAGTCACAGACAAAGAGTAAACAGTGGCTTGGCTTAGTGTTGGCTCGGCTTGTCGTGGTGTGCCTTGCCTGCGTGGGACACGACCGACCCGGGCGGGTTCGCGCGGTCGGGTCTTGCGGACAGTCCGAGACAGTTTTCTGCGCCCCTGCCGCCGCACTCGCAATGTCCGCCCTTGTAGAGGGCCGCGCTGCCCTTGTCTCCGAGAGGCCCGGACCGCCCGGGATCCGCCCCGGCCCGCGAAGGCGCATAGCCAAGCAAGGACCCCTCCGACGAGCGATGGACCAGTTTAATATTTCATGTACACACTGAAAAATATTGCAAAAGTATTCCAAATATTCCATAAGTATTTTAAGATATTCCAAAAATATTCCAGAGATTCCACAAAATATTCCCAATAGTCCATATACACCAAAAATTTCAGTGGTCGACCCCTCGCCCTCCGAGTTGAAAGAGAAGGGGTAAAGGCTTGCGGAGCTGACCTTTGTCGTGGGGACGGAGGGAGGACGAGAGAGCGCGCCAATGAGTGTGCGAGCAGGAGAGAGCGAAGGGAGAGAGAGAGAGAGAGAGAGAGAGAGAGAATCTGTGCAAAGGACTCTGGCTGGCCAGAGCAGGAGCAGGCCAGGCCCTTATTGGACATAAGGGACACAGGGGGGAGGGGAGGGTGACGTTAATTGCTCAACTTGTTGACAGAGGGAACTCCTGGCCAAGTGGCCCTGGGGATTGAAATTCGTCGTCCTGGGGGAGACAGGGGACAGGGGGCGCGGCGCGCGCAGTCTTGGAGGAGGTGTGGATGGGTGCGGATTGGCGGGGGTGGGGATGACGTCACCTCGGTGACACCGCCGGGCCACCATCGCGACGTGGTGGAGCAGAAGCACGTCAGGTCACGTATGCCACCTGCTCTTTATCTACAGGTGCTCCTCGCCGTGCTCGCCGTCCTGGACCTGACCGCCGCCCTGCACCTAGCCGCCTCCTCCGCCGACAACACAGCCGTCGGCCCCGATCAGCCCCTCCCCGTCAGCGTCGACCCTGCGGCCGCGCCGCCAGCGCCGCCCGCCCTCCTCGCGGCCACTCAAACTCGAGGGGCCGAGGCCGTGGGCGCCGTAGACGCACAGCCAAAGCCGCCCGCACTCCTCGCGGCCACCCGCACCCAAGGGGCCGAGGCTGTGGGTGCCGTGGGCACGGCAGCGGCCCTGTCGAGGCGCCGGCGGCACATGGTGTTCAGGCCGCTGTTCGCCTCTCGGCAGCGGAACAACGCCAGGTCCGGCCGCAGGCGGGCGAACGGCTTCTGATATGACGACGAGTCGAGGCAGAGCAACTATAATGACAATAACAAAAAAAATATATCGCTTTCCTCTCCCAAAGTTTGTGTTGTTTCTTTCTCCTGTTTAGTTTCTGCCAACATCTTCTCCTTTTTATTTTGTTGGAGCTACACGGTCCGACCACACATACATGCACTGACGTCGTCGTCCTGCCCGCGGGCGCACCGAGCCAGCCAAACCACCCCCAGAGAGACCGCTGGGGACAGGACGCAGAGGAGGGGGAGTCCGTGGGGGGCAGCAGCGGGCCCGCGCTGCTGCGGGGGGCCCGGCGAGGTCGTTGCCACCTCATCGTCCTCTTAAGCAGAGCGGTTTAGCCCGGCAAGGCGAAGAACACGAAGACAATTGGGAGCGTCTCAGCCGGGCTGTTTGCACGGGCAGTCCGTTAAAGACGTCGCCTGGACGACGCCCTTCCACCCCCTGCTAGCCTTGCTCTCGCCCCTGTAATGGCGAGAGCGTGTTCGATTAATGAAGTGGGCTCTCTTCTCTGTCTCCCTCTTCTTTCTCTCTCTTCTATGTCTCTTCCTCCCTGTCTCTCTTCTCCCCCCTCCCCCCTCCCTCTGCTCTCTCTCTCTCCCTCTCCCGTTAGTACGCACCCCCGCCGACGCGGGGAATCAGAGTGGCTGAAAGTGAGCGCCGCTCTACATTTCAGATACTCCTCTCCCGTCCGGTACAGCGCCTTCCGCGCCTCTCTGGGGACACTCTGTTATACAATCGACCGGCAATAACAACTCCAAGCACATCTCGGAATGCGGAATCCTTACTTTTCTTTTCAGTCCGCCAGCCGCCAGACTCGACTCGTGCGTCCCCTGACTACGCCAGCGGGGTCGTCCTCTTGGCGGTACGACGCGCGCGGGGAGGGGAGGGAGGGTGGCGATGGCTGCTGTGGCTGCTCCTCTCTCGGGCGAGTGCTCCATTCGCAGCTAGACGAGCACCTCCAGCAGCCCCACAAAAGTACTCGAAAATATCTCATCAAGGGCGCGCGCGGCCAGGGAATAAGGGACGGCCGTAAGAAGGGTCGGGGGAGGAGGGGGTGAAGCGACAAGGATACGCGGAAATGGACCCGAGCAGGACTTGTTCTCGAGGATGGGAAACAGGAGGAGTGCTCGGCGGAGGGCGTGGCGGAGCGTGGTGTGACCGCGGAAGTGAAGTAGGGCAGCTGGGGACAACTCGTAAGCCGGTTCCACTCGCCTCTTCTACGACAGTAAAAAACAGCAAGTGCAGGAAAATATTAAAAAAAAAACAATATTGCAATCAGCTGATGAGAATTGGAAGATGCGTAAACCTATCTTTGACATGTTGCGTCTAAATTTTCCCCCGTTTATAGAAATGTTTTCCAAGGTCTGTTACAAACAAAAATTGAAGGTCAGTGTCTTTGGTTTCAATTTTCCTTTGCCTTGATATCCAGAAATGTCCCAGAAAGTGTGTGAACGGTGCGAATTAGAATTATGAGCCAAATTTTAAATTTCTAGCCGCTGAAAGTATGGAGCGTTTAAATTGGCAGTCCGCGTGCCTCGCGGCGTTCTTTTATGTCTTGCTTTCATCGGCAGAGAGGAGAGGAGGGGATAGGGTGGAGGCCCAATGGGGGGTGAGGTATGGGGAACCCATCAATGTCTTTCGCTACGATGAAGAGAAGATGACATTTCGTTCGGTTGCCGCGATAGAATACGCGGAAACGTAGAGGCTGGCAGACGCTCGGTTCTTCGCTAATAATGCGGGTCCCAGCCACCTGCTTCTTCCTCAGCCTGGCAACCCTCTTGGTCTGCCCGTTTGCCTCTGTCTCTCCCGCTCTCCCGGGAGCCGTGGCGCGGACGTCTGACGCCTAATTCATAGCGGCGGTATCGCCCGGACTCGATGTCAGAACTCCTTCCCTTCTCCCGGAGAGCAAAATGATGAATAGCACGGTCACCGGGGAGAGAGAGAACGGGAGAGGCAGGGAGGGAAAGGGGAGGGGAAGAGAGAGACATAGGACATAGATAAAGAGCGTGAAGCAAAAAAAATATAATTCTGACGCGATTGTGATTCCACTTGCAGGATGTTTTGTTTCGTAAGGTAGCTATGGATGTAAAACATTCAGACCGAGAAAAGCAAAAGAGATTTAAGAAGTCATTACGATGATCGAACATCGAAAGACCTATAACGCCTGTAAGTAGGCAAACTACAGTTGTGGCGTGCAGCGGTACGGAGCGGGTGGCCTACCCTATGATCGACAGGGGCTCCAAGAGAACGCGAGTGAGGAAGGTCGTGCGAACGCAAGTACACGGCAAATCTCTTGCCATAACGAAAACGCTTTGTGAATTATTTCAGGTCGATTTCCGGACACGACGCACAACTTTGTAATCACAAACAAACTGGATGATGCGCGTAGGGAATGCAGCGCGGGGTGTTTTGGGGGAGAGAGACGGGAATAAAACTGCAGCGCGTGTCGGCGTCTAGACTAGTTTATTGCGGTGTAGTGGTGCGGCACGAGGTTGGCGTCGAGGACTACGCGCAGGGCTGGCCGTCGGCGTGCTCGACGTGCTCCAGGGCGACCCTGCGGATGGCGTTGTTGGAGATGGAGGGCACTTGCTGGTACTGCGCCTCCTCCAGCACGACCCCCTCGGGCTTGATGATGGCGGAGGACGACGGGAGGTGCGCGGGGGCGGCGGCGGAGCCGACGGGGGCCTCGGCGGTCACGACGTGCAGCGTGGAGACCGCGGGTGCGGCGTGGGACGGCGCCAGGGGGGTGGTGTACACGGCCTGCTGCTGCTGCTGCTGCTGCTGGCCCCAGGGGAGCTGCAGCGGGTGCTGCAGCCAGCTCAGCACGGGGTTGCTGTTACCGCCCTGCTGAGCGCCGCTGCCGCTGCCGCCCCAGGGTAGGAAGCCCCAGATGGCGGGCTGCTGTGGCTGCACCTGCGGCTGGCTGCTCACCAGCTGCGCGCTCAGCTGCTGCGGCTGCTGCTGCTGGACCACCGGCTGGCGGTTGCTGGACCAGGGCAGCCACGAGCCCTGCAGGAACGTGCTGATGGGGTTGGCGTTGCTGGCGTAGCTGTAGGCGGTGCCGGCCTCGTAGGCGGGGCGCGAGGACGGCAGCCACTGCTGATAGACGGCCGGCCGCGCGTGCGAGTACGCATAGCCTGCAAGGTGGTACAGGTGCAATCAATGAAAGAGCGCTAAAATACATTAATGGACAGTAACGCACTAAAGGCAAACTGTCAAATTTATCAATTGTTTTGTGCTGCACTTAATGAAAAGTTACATGTAAAAAAACACACACACACAAACGCATGCACCTTTTAGGTTTGTTTTGGAGAGAATAGCAATCCTGGAAAGATCCGAAAAAAGTTACGATGGCTTTTATATGCGTTGAACTAAAATCGCCTCCGGGCATACACTCACCGTACTGTACGGGTTGCGGCTGCGGCTGCGGCTGCGGCTCGTACGCTGCCCTCCTGTACTGGTACTGGGGGCTGTACTGGTACTGAGGGTACTGATGCTGAGAGTACTGCTGGGGCTGGAGGTTAAAGTGCGGCAGCAGGTCCTGCAGGAACGCCTGGCCCGGCGAGCACAGCGCCGCTAGCACCACCAATGTCTACACACAAAAAAAACACACATTTTTTTTTCCAAAGAATTACTTGAAGATATCTCTGCGCGGGCGCAGTGCTTCGAGAGGTGTGCTCACCAGCATGGTCCTGTACATGTCTGTCTGCCGTGTCCACTCTGGCACTGCCTGCCCGCGGCCACGGCCGGTCGCTCATATAGCGAAAGGGTCCTCAAAGGGGGAAAGGAGGAGGGCGCGGAGGGGGAGCTGAGCAGAAGAAGGAGAGGGAGAGACCATACGCACACGGAGCCTGCTGCTGCCCGTCGCCGTCGGGCCCGTCCCAGCACCAGAGGCGCGGCGGGTGACTTACCGAAACCTTCCCCTGCCCTATTGGCTCCCACACTGCTCCAGCTTCATAAATCATGGCACGCGCACAACTTGTGACCGACCGCCCCATGTGCTGTCCGAACGCTCCCTTGGCCGACGCGCGGCGGAGGGCGGTGGCCTCCAGCACGGCAATCTCACCCCCTCCCTCGCCCGCCCCAAGTCGCTTTGGCCGCGGAGTTATTTCCGTGTCGCGGCGCCCCGGCGGGCGTCCCGCGTGATAGGTGCGGCTATAGTCGGACTCGGTGTGCCGGAACCTGATCGGACCGTAAATAATGGAGCGAAGGGCGAGTGTGGCTGGCAGCCCGCGCGGAGCTGACACATTTGAACACTCCCGCCTCCCTCTCTCCCTCCTCCCGCCACACCACTACAGACGCCTCGAGGGGTCGGCCACTAAGATTTTTGGTGCACATGCGGCATATCTGGAATGATTGTGGAATATCTGGAATACTTTTGGAATACCGGGAATATTTTTGGAACTTGTGGAAAATTATTGGAGTACGCGTAAAAGTTTTGGTTTTGGAATATCTGAAATACTTTTGGAATATCTTTCATATTTTTGGAGTATTTTTCAAGTGTGGACATGGAGTATCCAAGTGGTCCGGCCATCATCGGTCCGCCTCAATGCACCCTCCTGCGGAACTGTACCCCCCCCCCCCCTGCGAATACGATCACTATCGCTCGACCACACCCTCCCCGTCTCCCCATAGAGCCCCTAGGGAGGCGTGCGCCACTTTGCACCACCCTCTTTTCCCTTCGCGATTCCTCTCTCCGGCGCCGGATGCCTCGGCTTTAACAACGGCGCGTCAGCCTGTCAGCCTTCGTTTTGCGCCGACATGGCGACGGCGGCGGCGATTCGAAGCAATTGAATTCCCCGCGCCCTCCCTCTCCTGTCGCCTGGAATATCCCCCCCGGACCCTATCCCGGGCCGGTCGGGCGTCGGTGGGGCGTATTCCATTACGCGGCCGCCTAATGGAGACATTATAGCGGCCCGGGAGCACGCGTCCCCCGCGCCGGCCCGGGCGCCACGCCTGCCCCCCCCCCTCCTTCCAATCGGCCCGCCCCCGGCTCAGCCCCACGCCGCCGCCGCCGCCGCCGCCGCCGCCAGGCCTCCACCAAGTTTGCCCAACTAATTTCGGCAGACCCTCAGGGGCACACGACGCCGCCGCCGCCGCCGCTTCCTGGAACGTGTCTCGGCCCCCCCAGAGCCCAGCCCTCCCGCGCGCCTCGAGTTCGCCCAATGCGTTTTGTATTCGACGGACTTCTTGTTACCATCGGGGCTGATAAAGCGGGAAAACAGTGGCCGGCCCCGGCCCGCTGCTGCTGCCTTGCGCGGTCTTTCCTACTGAGAAATGGAGTTGAGAATCGAGGTCGCGGTCGACGTCGATTTTGAACTGTCGTCGATTTTGAGGACTAAATCGAGTTGATGTCGAGTCGAATTTGCCTCGACCAAAAGACTAGGGCTCGCCTCGACAATCGGCCATTTCTCGATATTGGATTTGCGCGACGACATCGCGTGTCATATCGCGGATGGAAAGGTCGAATTGCCCTGTTTAAAGCTCTTCGTTTGTGAGCAGGTCAGTGGCGATCAGGAATGTAGGGGGGGG